TTGGTGGTGTGATGATGATGGTGGTGATGGTGGTGATGATGATGGTGGTGATGGTGGTGGTGATGGTGGTGATGGTGGTGGTGGTGATGGTGGTGGTGGTGATGATGGTGGTGATGGTGGTGGTGATGGTGGTGGTGATGGTGGTGGTGGTGGTAATGATGATGGTGGTGGTGATGGTGGTGGTGGTGATGATGATGGTGGTGATGGTGGTGATGATGGTGGTGATGGGTGGTGGTGATGGTGGTGGTGGTGGTGATGATGATGGTGATGGTGGTGGTGGTGATGATGGTGGTGATGGTGGTGGTGGTGGTGATAGTGGTGGTGGTGATCGTGGTGGTGGTGATGATGATGGTGGTGATGGTGGTGGTGACCTGCGCCTCCTTGTGCACGCAGGCGACTGGAGTTTGGACGACGAAGAGGAGATTTCCGACGGAGCAGACCAAACGTTGGACGAGCCACATTGTGAAGATCCAGATTTTGTGGTGCGGACAAGTCTGTGTGTGTCTGTGTGTGTGTGTGTCTGTGTGTCTGTGTCTGTGTGTCTCTGTGTGTGTCTCTGTGTGTGTCTGTGTGTGTGTGTATCTGTGTGTCTGTGTGTGTGTCTGTGTGTGTGTCTGTGTTTGTCTGTGTGTCTGTGTCTGTGTGTTTCTGTGTGTCTGTGTGTGTGTCTCTGTGTGTGTCTGTGTGTGTGTCTCTGTGTGTGTCTGTGTGTGTCTGTGTCTGTGTGTCTGTGTGTGTGTGTGTGTGTCTGTGTGTGTGTGTGTCTCTGTGTGTCTCTGTGTGTCTGTGTGTCTCTGTATCTGTGTGTCTGTGTCTCTCTACGTGTGTCTGTGTGTGTCTCTGTGTCTCTGTGTGTCTGTGTCTGTCTCTGTGTGTGTCTGTGTCTCTCTGTGTGTCTCTGTGTCTGTGTGTCTGTGTCTGTGTCTGTGTGTGTCTGTGTGTGTCTGTGCCTGTGTGTCTGTGTGTGTCTGTGTGTGTGTCTGTGTGTGTCTGTGTCTCTGTGTGTCTCTGTGTGTCTCTGTGTGTCTGTGTGTCTGTGTGTGTGTCTCTGTGTCTGTGTGTGTGTCTGTGTGTGTGTCTGTGTCTGTGTGTCTGTGTGTCTGTGTGTCTCTGTGTCTGTGTGTCTCTGTGTCTCTGTGTCTCTGTGTCTGTGTGTCTGTGTGTCTCCCTGTGTGTCTGTGTGTCTCTGTGTCTCCCTGTGTGTCTGTGTGTCTCTGTGTGTCTCTGTGTCTCCCTGTGTGTCTCTGTGTTTTTGTGTCTCCCTGTGTGTCTCTGTGTCTCTGTGTCTGTGTGTCTCTGTGTGTCTCTGTGTCTCCCTGTGTGTCTCTGTGTCTGCGTGTCTCTGTGTCTCCCTGTGTGTCTCTGTGTCTGTGTGTCTCTGTGTCTCCCTGTGTGTCTCTGTGTCTCCCTGTGTGTCTCTGTGTCTCTGTGTCTCTGTGTCTCCCTGTGTGTCTGTGTGTCTGTGTGTCTCCCTGTGTGTCTCTGTGTCTGTGTGTCTCTGTGTCTCCCTGTGTGTCTCTGTGTCTGCGTGTCTCTGTGTCTCCCTGTGTGTCTCTGTGTCTGTGTGTCTCTGTGTCTGTGTGTCTCCCTGTGTGTCTCCCTGTGTGTCTCCCTGTGTGTCTTCCTGTGTGTCTCTGTGTCTCCCTGTGTCTCTGTGTCTCCATGTGTGTCTGTGTGTCTCTGTGTGTATCTCTGTGTCTCCATGTGTGTCTCTGTGTCTGTGTGTCTGTGTCTGTGTGTCTCTGTGTCTCCCTGTGTGTCTCTGTGTCTCTGTGTTTTGTGTCTCCCTGTGTGTCTCTGTCTCCCTGTGTGTCTGTGTGTCTCTGTGTGTGTCTCTGTGTCTCCCTGTGTGTCTCTGTTTCCCTGTGTGTCTCTGTGTCTCTCTGTGTGTCTCTGTGTGTGTCTCTGTGTCTCCCTATGTGTCTCTGTCTCCCTGTGTGTCTCTGTGTCTCCCTGTGTGTCTCCCTGTGTGTCTCTGTGTCTCCCTGTGTGTCTCTGTGTCTCCCTGTGTGTCTCTGTGTCTGTGTGTCTCTGTGTCTGTGTGTCTCTGTGTCTCCCCCATGGATTCATGCGTCTCTCTCTCTCTCTCTTCCTATGAATCGCTGTTTCTGTCTCCCTGGGTCTGTCCAAGTGGCTCTGTCTCCATGTGTCTCCATGTGTCTCCCTGTGTCTGTGTCTCACTGTGTCTGTGTCTCGCTGTGTCTGTGTATCGCTGTGTCTGTGTCTCACTGTGTCTCGCTGTGTCTTCCTGTGTCTGTGTCTCTCTGTGTCTCCCCGTGTTTGTGTCTCACTGTGTCTGTGTCTCGCTGTGTCTGTGTCTCGCTGTGTCTGTGTCTCGCTGTGTCTGTGTCTCGCTGTGTCTGTGTCTCGCTGTGTCTGTGTCTCACTGTGTCTCGCTGTGTCTCCGCGTAATTCAGATGGATGCAGATTACGTACCGGGCGGACATGGGGGACAGAATTTAGACACCGAAGGCACGGGGACACGCAGACGCAAAGACAAGCGGCGGAAATACGCGGAGCTCCCAGCAGATGATTCAGGTGGGACACGAAGACACTGAGACACAGACACACAGAGTCACAGACACACAGACACACAGAGTCACAGAGACACAGGGACACTGAGACACAGACACAGAGTCACAGAGACACAGGGACACAGAGACACTGGGACACGAAGACACAGAGACACAGAGACACAGACACAGAGACACAGAGACACAGGGACACGTGGACACGTGGACACGTGGACACGTGGACACGTGGACACGTGGACACGTGGACACGTGGACACAGGGACACTGAGACACAGGGACACAGGGACACAGGGACACTGAGACACTGAGACACTGACACAGGGACACAGAGACACTGAGACACTGAGACACAGAGACACGTAGACACAGGGACACTAAGACACAGAGACACAGAGACACGTAGACACAGGGACACTGAGACACAGAGACACAGAGACACGTAGACACAGGGACACTGAGACACAGAGACACAGAGACACGTAGACACAGGGACACTGAGACACAGAGACACAGAGACACGTAGACACAGGGACACGTAGACACAGGGACACTGAGACACAGAGACACAGAGACACAGAGACACGTAGACACAGGGACACTGAGACACAGAGACACAGAGACACGTAGACACAGGGACACTGAGACACAGAGACACAGAGACACGTAGACACAGGGACACTGAGACACAGAGGCACGTAGACACAGGGACACTGAGACACAGGGACACAGAGACACAGAGACACAGAGACACAGGGACAGGGACACAGGGACACAGGGACACGTGGACACAGGGACACAGGGACACAGGGACACTGAGACACATGGACATGTCACCTCCTATCAGCGAGCCTTCGACACTTCACATGGCCTCAAAGTGCACCTGGCCTGGCACAGGCGCCGTGGTGACGGTGTGTGTGTGTGGTGTGTATGTGCGTGTGGTGTGTGCATGTGTGTGGTGTGTGTGTGGTGTGTGTGTGGTGTGTGCATGTGTGTGGTGTGTGTGTGGTGTGTGTGTGGTGTGCGTGTGGTGTGTGGTGACGTATCGGTGTGCGTGTGGTGTGTGTGGTGTGTGTGTTGTGTGTGTTGTGTGCGTGTGGTGTGTGTGTGTCGTGTGCGTATGGTGTGCGTGTGGTGTGTTTGTATGGTGTGTGTGTGTGGTGTGTGTGTGTGTGTGGTGTGTGTGTGTGGTGTGTGTGTGTGGTGTGTGTGCGTGGTGTGTGTGTGGTGTGTTTGTGTGGTGTGTTTTGTATGGTGTGTGTGGTGTGTGTGTGTGGTGTGTGCGTGTGGTGTGTGCGTGTGGTGTGTGCGTGTGGTGTGTGCGTGTGGTGTGTGCGTGTGGTGTGTGCGTGTGCTGTGTGTGTGTGGTGTGTGTTTGTGTGGTGTGTTTGTGTGATGTGTGTGTGTGTGGTGTGTGTGTTGTAGTGTGTGTGTGTGGTGTGTGTGTGTGTGGTGTGTGTGTTGTGGTGTGTGGGTGTGGTGTGTGGTGACGTATTGGTGTGCATCTCTGTGGGTACCGCCAACAGAGCTGCACTTTGAGTCTCTGGTGGGGGACCTGCCGTGCCGTTTCCGGTACCGAGAAGTCATCGCCAACGACTTCGGACTCTCCACAGACGAGGTCGGAATCCCCACCACACACAGACACCCAGCATCACATTCCCCACTGCACACAGACACCCAGCATCACATTCACCACTACACACAGACACCCAGCGTCACATTCCCCACTGCACACAGACACCCAGCGTCACATTCACCACTACACACAGACACCCAGCATCACATTCACCACTACACACAGACACCCAGCGTCACATTCCCCACTGCACACAGACACCCAGCATCACATTCACCACTACACACAGACACCCAGCGTCACATTCCCCACTGCACACAGACACCCAGCATCACATTCACCACTACACACAGACACCCAGCATCACATTCCCCACTGCACACAGACACCCAGCGTCACATTCACCACTACACACAGACACCCAGCGTCACATTCCCCACTGCACACAGACACCCAGCGCCACATTACCCACATTCCAACAGACACCCAGCGTCACATTCCCCACTACACACAGACACCCAGCGTCACATTCCCCACTGCACACAGACACCCAGCGTCACATTCCCCACTACACACAGACACCCAGCATCACATTCCCCACTACACACAGACACCCAGCGTCACATTCCCCACTACACACAGACACCCAGCGTCACATTCCCCACTGCACACAGACACCCAGCGTCACATTCCCCACTACACACAGACACCCAGCATCACATTCCCCACTGCACACAGACACCCAGCATCACATTCCCCACTACACACAGACACCCAGCGTCACATTCCCCACTACACACAGACACCCAGCATCACATTCACCACTACACACAGACACCCAGCATCACATCCCCCACTGCACACAGACACCCAGCATCACATTCCCCACTACACACAGACACCCAGCGTCACATTCCCCACTACACACAGACACCCAGCATCACATTCCCCACTACACACAGACACCCAGCATCACATTCCCCACTACACACAGACACCCAGCGTCACATTCCCCACTACACACAGACACCCAGCATCACATTCCCCACTACACACAGACACCCAGCATCACATTCCCCACTGCACACAGACACCCAGCGTCACATTCCCCACTACACACAGACACCCAGCGTCACATTCCCCACTGCACACAGACACCCAGCGCCACATTACCCACTACACACAGACACCCAGCGTCACATTCCCCACTACACACAGACACCCAGCGTCACATTCCCCACTGCACACAGACACCCAGCGTCACATTCCCCACTACACACAGACACCCAGCGTCACATTCCCCACTGCACACAGACACCCAGCGTCACATTCCCCACTGCACACAGACACCCAGCGTCACATTCCCCACTGCACACAGACACCCAGCGTCACATTCCCCCACTTCACACAGACACCCAGCGTCACATTCCCCACTGCACACAGACACCCAGCGTCACATTCCCCACTGCACACAGACACCCAGCGTCACATTCCCCACTACACACAGACACCCAGCGTCACATTCCCCACTGCACACAGACACCCAGCGTCACATTCCCCACTACACACAGACACCCAGCGTCACATTCCCCACTACACACAGACACCCAGCGTCACATTCCCCACTACACACAGACACCCAGCGTCACATTCCCCACTGCACACAGACACCCAGCGTCACATTCCCCACTGCACACAGACACCCAGCGTCACATTCCCCACTGCACACAGACACCCAGCGTCACATTCCCTACTGCACACAGACACTCAGCGTCACATTCCCCACTGCACACAGACACCCAGCGTCACATTCCCCACTACACACAGACACACAGCCTCACATTCCATACTGCACACAGACACCCGGCGTCACATTCCCCACTGCACACAGACACCCAGCGTCACATTCCCCACTACACACAGACACCCAGCGTCACATTCCCTACTACACACAGACACTCAGCGTCACATTCCCCACTGCACACAGACACCCAGCGCCACATTCCCCACTACACACAGACACCCAGCGTCACATTCCCTACTACACACAGACACCCAGCGTCACATTCCCCACTGCACACAGACACCCAGCGCCACATTCCCCACTACACACAGACACCCAGTGTCACATTCCCCACTGCACACAGACACCCAGTGTCACATTCCCCACTACACACAGACACCCAGCGTCACATTCCCCACTACACACAGACACCCAGTGTCACATTCCCCACTGCACACAGACACCCAGTGTCACATTCCCCACTACACACAGACACTCAGCGTCACATTCCCCACTACACACAGACACCCAGCGTCACATTCCCCACTACACACAGACACCCAGTGTCACATTCCCCACTGCACACAGACACTCAGCGTCACATTCCCCACTACACACAGACACCCAGTGTCACATTCCCCACTACACACAGACACTCAGCGTCACATTCCCCACTACACACAGACACCCAGCGTCACATTCCCCACTACACACAGACACCCAGTGTCACATTCCCCACTGCACACAGACACCCAGTGTCACATTCCCCACTACACACAGACACTCAGCGTCACATTCCCCACTACACACAGACACCCGGCGTCACATTCCCCACTACACACAGACACTCAGCGTCACATTCCCCACTGCACACAGACACCCGGCGTCACATTCCCCACTGCACACAGACACCCAGCGTCACATTCCCCACTGCACACAGACACCCAGCGTCACATTCCCCACTGCACACAGACACCCAGCATCACATTCCCCACTGCACACAGACACCCAGCGTCACATTCCCCACTGCACACAGACACCCAGCGTCACATTCCCCACTACACACAGACACCCAGCGTCACATTCCCCACTGCACACAGACACCCAGCGTCACATTCCCCACTGCACACAGACACCCAGCATCACATTCCCCACTGCACACAGACACCCAGCATCACATTCCCCACTACACACAGACACCCAGCGTCACATTCCCCACTGCACACAGACACCCAGCGTCACATTCCCCACTGCACACAGACACCCAGCATCACATTCCCCACTACACACAGACACCCAGCGTCACATTCCCCACTACACACAGACACCCAGCGCCACATTCCCCACTACACACAGACACCCAGCGTCACATTCCCCACTACACACAGACACCCAGCGTCACATTCCCCACTGCACACAGACACCCAGCGTCACATTCCCCACTACACACAGACACACAGCGTCACATTCCCCACTACACACAGACACCCAGCGTCACATTCCCCACTACACACAGACACCCAGCGTCACATTCCCTACTACACACAGACACACAGCGTCACATTCCCCACTACACACAGACACCCAGCGTCACATTCCCCACTACACACAGACACCCGGCATCACATTCCCCACTACACACAGACACCCAGCGTCACATTCCCCACTACACACAGACACCCAGCGTCACATTCCCCACTACACACAGACACCCAGCGTCACATTCCCCACTACACACAGACACCCAGCGTCACATTCCCCACTGCACACAGACACCCAGCGTCACATTCCCCACTGCACACAGACACTCAGCGTCACATTCCCCTCTACACACAGACACCCAGTGTCACATTCCCCACTACACACAGACACCCAGCGTCACATTCCCCACTGCACACAGACACCCAGCATCACATTCCCCACTGCACACAGACACCCAGAGTCACATTCCCCACTGCACACAGACACCCAGCGTCACATTCCCCACTACACACAGACACTCAGCGTCACATTCCCCTCTACACACAGACACCCAGCGTCACATTCCCCACTGCACACAGACACCCAGCGTCACATTCCCCACTACACACAGACACCCAGCGTCACATTCCCCACTGCACACAGACACCCAGCATCACATTCCCTACTGCACACAGACTCCCAGCGTCACATTCCCTACTACACACAGACACCCAGCGTCACATTCCCCACTGCACACAGACACCCAGCGTCACATTCCCCACTACACACAGACACTCGGCGTCACATTCCCCACTACACACAGACACCCAGCGTCACATTCCCCACTACACACAGACACCCAGCGTCACATTCCCCACTACACACAGACACCCAGCGTCACATTCCCCACTACACACAGACACCCAGCGTCACATTCCCCACTGCACACAGACACCCAGCGTCACATTCCCCACTACACACAGACACCCAGCGTCACATTCCCCACTACACACAGACACCCAGCGTCACATTCCCCACTACACACAGACACCCAGCGTCACATTCCCCACTGCACACAGACACCCAGCGTCACATTCCCCACTACACACAGACACCCGGCGTCACATTCCCCACTACACACAGACACCCAGCGTCACATTCCCCACTACACACAGACACCCAGCGTCACATTCCCCACTACACACAGACACCCAGCGTCACATTCCCCACTACACACAGACACCCGGCGTCACATTCCCCACTACACACAGACACACAGCCTCACATTCCATACTGCACACAGACACCCGGCGTCACATTCCCCACTGCACACAGACACCCAGCGTCACATTCCCCACTACACACAGACACCCAGCGTCACATTCCCTACTACACACAGACACTCAGCGTCACATTCCCCACTGCACACAGACACCCAGCGCCACATTCCCCACTACACACAGACACCCAGCGTCACATTCCCTACTACACACAGACACCCAGCGTCACATTCCCCACTGCACACAGACACCCAGCGCCACATTCCCCACTACACACAGACACTCAGCGTCACATTCCCCACTACACACAGACACCCAGTGTCACATTCCCCACTGCACACAGACACCCAGTGTCACATTCCCCACTACACACAGACACTCAGCGTCACATTCCCCACTACACACAGACACCCAGCGTCACATTCCCCACTACACACAGACACTCAGCGTCACATTCCCCACTACACACAGACACCCGGCGTCACATTCCCCACTACACACAGACACTCAGCGTCACA